TGGATTGTTCTAATGGCCAGTGGCGTATCGTTTTTTGGAACGAATTTAATTAGTAAAGTAAAAGTAAAGTAATTAGTAAAATGTTTACTCCATATTAATATACTACATTAAGACTTTTTCATCAGATGAGTTTTGTTATAAGGTCTAATATAATTAATATCCCACATATACTTATGTTGAAACGTTAGTAGGTAGTTTTCGAAAATCGCTTTAACGTCGATTTTCAATTTAAACTTTCAGTTAATTCTATATAAATTTTCAGTTACTTTTGAATATATACAGGGTGACTCAGGCTTCCGAAACAGTTCTATATTAGGTTTGTGGTTGGTGACTTTTCTTTCAATTTTTTTTTCAGAATATGGAGGCAATGGTAAAGCACATTTTAGATATTTTTGTAAACATAGGTGGCCGGAACATGTTTTCAAACTAAAGTTGTAGATTTGCCATTAAATTTCCATTCCAGAAATACCTAGGTTTGCCACCTGTCCTTTTTTAAAAGGACAGTCCTTTTTTGGAATAACTTGTCCTTTTGACTTTTTTTTACTTAAAAAGTCATTTTTATTTACGTATTTTCCCTGAGAAAATTACCTACAGCAAACAGAAATATTATTTTCGTCCAAATTTAATTAGAGATGTTATAAAACTTATAAATTAATTTTTCTTCTTTAGAATAGGCAACATTATTTAGAACTTCCCGTTTAATCTCAAATGATAATTTAGGTTTTAGTTTTACCTTTTTTGATCTTAAAAAGAACTTTTTAAAATTAGTAATTAGTAACGATTTAGTTAGTTCGCAATCGATAGATTCCTGTAAAGTACTGTGTAATAGTTGTTTAATCTTATATTATTAATAACTTCATATACCTAAAATCAATATTTAATAAGAAAATTGTATTTTTTTGAAAATAAAGACAAGATTTGACTTTCGGTCTTCTTCTTGTATGATGATGGCTCTGGTACGAGGCAATTACCTTTTAGTCTCTCAATAGAAGGCATTTATCATTAAAAGTATCGAATCTGTGTGCTACAGTATGGGATTTCTGTCGCATAATAATGAATATTACGTTTATTTACAAATCCATTACTTTTAAAGGTAGCTTCATCAGACAATCAAATTTTAGTTAAATGTCCCAATCTTCATGAACTGTATTAAGCATATGTATAGCGGTTTGATCACCCCGAGAATCACCCTCTATGTTGACAAAAATATTTTGAAAATGTGCGTTACAATGGCCCCCATCTTATGTAAAAAATTGAAATAAAAATTACAAACCAAAAACGTAATAGGTAAAAAGTTTTTTTGGAGGCCTGGGTCACTCTGTATATAGGTATGTATAAAACTAGTAGCCTAAGAATTATTTACAGTTCGTCCCATTCTAAAAAAAGGTAAACACACCGTACAAATAACTCTAGGTATTTGTACGGTGGTAAAAAATTGTTTAAACGAGGCCGAAGGGGCAGATATAATAATGCAATAAAATGTGAAAAAGGGCGGGTAAACACCTTTGTTTATTTGTTGAGCAAAATTCCTTTAGAATATCGTATATAATGACCAAAATATGACGCAATTTTAAAGTTTCAAATGCAACGTTTATATTCAAATTTGTTATGATCTACAACAGTTAAGTAGTAATTGAGACGAATTATAATTCAATTACCGGCTACTACGTTCTTGTTTTAATAGCTCAAAATTCAACAAATATAATTAGAAATTATTTTAATTGCGAGAGGCTCCCTTGTGGGACGCCTATGTACGGCGATTACGGCGCGGCGGAAACAATACCTACCTGTGAAAAGACAAATTCGGGTAATTTGAGCTTATTTTTCCACACATTTGACACTGTCGTACCATATTGAAAATTCACAGATTCAAAAGTACGTTAAACAAAAGCAAAAACTACTGAAAAACACTGAAAAGTTCACTTCGGACTTGATTCCGACTTCAAACACACCGTAAGCTAAACGTAGTACGCTATAACGGACCAAGAACCGTCGCGGGGGGTGGTGGGACGGACGGCTCATCTGGAAGACTAGCAGCGACGTTGCCAATAGTTCTAGACGTTTCAGCACATTAAACAGTAAACATGTCCTTTAATAGTAACGCATATATCCTCTGGTTAATAACATATTATTACGCATGCTTCGTTAAAAATAAACTATTAATTTAATTAAGAAATTGAGATTTATTAATATCCGGTGAAGGTTTTAAAGTCACCTTTTCTGCAAATCAAACTAAGTAGATAGGCGCAAATTTGAGATGTGGCAATATCGCCTTCTCTATCTCAGTTGGTTTTTACAGTACGTAGTCAACCTCCGATTGTTTGATCGGGTTAAAATGCAAAATGTGATATCTGTTCTTCCTAAATCTATGGGAAACACCCTTTTCTATAGGAGATAAACAAAAACTAATATCGGTGTCTGGAGCTCAATTTTTGTCAAAAATATGATGGTGAAAACCGCATATCGATATATGTTACCGTTTAGGAGTTACGGGGTGTTTTTCAAAAATGTGCATTTTTAACAAATCACTGTAACTTTTTTGCTATGAAAAATTTTGTATTTCTATGAAAACATTTCCAAAGCACCTTTTTACGTAGAATTTAATGGTTTAAGTATAATTTTTTTAAAATTAATAATTTAAGAGTTATCAACAGAAAAATTGATTTTTTATTTGGGACACCCTCTATATTTTTAATTAACTGAAAAGAAAAAGAAATTACCTTTCCAAAAATATAGCACACTTGATATTTTGTTATAATCCCCTTCGAAATACAGAATTTTTAAAAGTTCGCCACTTTTAACTAGTAGGCTTTGGACCCCTTATTGATGATATGCCCTTAATGGAACTGGAAAACATATTTTTCCAGCAAGACGAGGCACCGCCTAAGAACGCTGAAGTTATCAGCAAATTTTTGCAGCCAATTTCAAGAATAATTGAATAGCTAACCAAGATCCCAGCCGTTGGCCGTCGAGGCCGCCTGACTTAGTGCCCATGGATCTAATCCTATGGATATATTTGCGGAAGAACAAAGGTTCCTTATTCTTCCGTATAATCTACACAAGAATTAGATATACTTAGCAGTTATGAGAGGATATCTTTCACCCCCACTGAGTTAATGAATTCAGCGAGAAATTTTCAAAAACTGCCCCGTCTGTCCATAACAGTCCACAACCGACCGTCTTGGTCGATATGTCGAACACCTGTAGCAAAATCTCATGTCTTGGTTTGCTATTTATTTTTATTGTTATTAGATATAGTTTAAATGTGTTGATGTTGGTTAAATATATTTTAAATTGTTATAAAATTCTGCACCTCTCAGAGCAAATATTATTTTCGTTTTAATTGATGTTCACAGCTAGAATTTTTGGCATTACAGCCGGTGCCATTCAAAGCCTACTTATTTAAAAGGGGGCGAATTTTTATATACTCTATATCTCGAAGAGGAATCGAGGAAAATATCAAGTGTGTTATATTTTTGGAAAGGTAATTTTAAATTCTTTTCAATAAATTAAAAATATACAGGGTGTCCCATATAAAAAATCAAATTTTCTGTAGATAATTCTTAAATTATTAATTTTAAAAAAATTATACTTAAACCATTAAATTCTACGTAAAAAGGTGCTTTGGAAATGTTTGAATGTTTTCATAGAAATACAAAATTTTCCATAGCAAAAAAGTTACAGCGGTTTTTTAAAAATGCACATTTTTGAAAAACACCCCGTAACTCCGAAACGGTAACAGATATTGATGTACGGTTTTCACCATCATGTTTTTGATGAAAATTGAGCTCTAGACACCGATATTAGTTTTCGTCTATCTCCTATAGAAAAACGTGTTTCCATTTAAAAGCGTCGAATTTGGCCCACCCTGTACAAGGTGTTGACAAACTTTTTTATTATAGCATGCATATTAAGCCTTTAAACATATCAAACGCTTATAACAAATGCCTTTTTTTGGGCCCAAGAATCCAAAAATTAAATAAAATACCAGGTGTTCCATAAGAAAAAATATAACTTTGGTATGGACCTTAGTTCTGACACACCCTGTACATTTGAAAATAATTTAAAATTATGCACATTGCCTTCCCACATATACCCATAAAATATTTTGTTTCTCTATCTTTCTGTTTTCATATAATCAACCGAGGCGAATGAGGTGCGCCACCCTGTATACTAACATACCAAATCTCGTTTTTTTATCGAAAAAAAAATAAAAAAGTTATAGGGGTGAGCCGCTTTTGAGACGCACCCGGTAGAGAGGATGGGTCTTAAAAAAATGTAAATATTATTAAGGGTGGTATATTCCGACTCCAGAAACATGCCTACATTTTTTTGCAAAAAAAATTGAAGATTTGGAATTTTTTGAAAATATTTTGGATTTTTTTAAAATTTTTAGTTAAGAAACAGAATACTTTGTTAATATGGCAACATACTAAGTGAATTAAATCAACAAGAAAGAAAACCCCGAAAAAACCCAGTTTTAAAATCAAAATTTAAGCAGAAATTATTTTTTCTTTATTTTCAAAGTGAAATAACTCGGTTATTTTGGACTATTTTGAAAAAGGATAAAGAGAAAATATGTTTTTTTTATTGATATCCACCAGCCCTGAAAAGATTTGCACTTATTTAAGACATACCCTGTATAATTAAGAATCGTATGATTTTTAGTAAATTTTAAAAAAATAGTAAATGATGTCTAGAGATTGACCGCAACAAAATGCCATTTCCCATCCGTTTTTGACGCTGTTTTTTTTATTTTTAGTGGTCAATCTATATAATTAAGTAAAAAAATAAAGAAAAAAATTGAAAACAGTTTTTTGATTTTTGAATCCCCATACAGTAAATTGGCATATCAAAAACTGATAAAATAAACTTCAGCCTAACAGAAATTATCATCGATTACCTTTCAACGGCCACTATGACACAGGTTTTTTTTCGATTTTAAATGGTACATTTTTTACATGTATAAGTATAACTAAAATGAGTTTCTATTGTTTCAGGCAGGCCAACTGTTACCCCCACAAACAAAAGCATAACAGCGGTCTACGGTCAACCTTTGACATTGACAATGGAGTTCTGCGCCAATCCACCTCACAATAAAGTGCTATGGATAGCGAAAAACAGAAAAGTCTACAAACCGGGCGACGCGGATAAAACAGTCATTGCCTACGGCATTACAGTAAGTAAAAATAGTAGAAAATAACGATATTTTAGAATTTAAAACCTATAAATACTTGAATTATTATTTTTTTATAGTATAAAAAAATAAAAAAGTAACTGCATCGGCCGGGAATCGAACCCGGGCCGCCCGCGTGGCAGGCGAGCATTCTACCACTGAACCACCGATGCTTGATATCTTCTCCGTAAAATCTGTTTTAAATAGGACTATAATAAAATTGTATTATTTTATTTTCAGAATTCTACAAGTCCGTATTGTTATCAAGCGGTGTTATTTCTCACAAAAGTAACTACAATAGACACGGGGGAATACAATTTCCTCGTCCGATCCCCTAACGGCCTAGCAGAAGGGAATTTTTTCGTCAATATGACTTACGCCAGCGGCTACAACGTGCCCCAGTACGAAGAAGTTGAGTCCTCGGGAGCTCGCAATTTACTATTACAAACAATTTACATAAATGTGATTCTTTCATTATTAATTACTTGTTAGTTACCTATGTTGACTGATTAGGTTTTATGGAGATATTCACCACATACATTAGAAATTAATATAAAGTCCCATAAAGTCGTTCACGTACAGTATTATAAGAACGATCACAAAAGAAAAGGATTAGAGAAAAATGTTTTGTGACCGTTCCCCCAACTGAAATTTATAAGAATTTATATAAAACTAATTTTTTAATGTATAGTTTTCTATATTGTTTTGCAAAAGATGTATAAATTTGTTAATAGACGGAGCTTGAATGTAAAAATTCATGTAATGATATTTAAATAATAATAAAAAATATACGTCCAATGTGTGTCTTTTATTACTAAATTTTTAAGGAAAAAATCAACCTTATGTCCATTACACTTAGAGCTGAAATTTAACAAGCAAATAGTGCGCAAAAACATTACGATTTGGTGTATTATTAGTTGCCTACATGCGGCATAAATACGTTCCTAACTTCAAACAAATATACTTTATCTTTGTCTAATCATCTCGATCAAAAGAGAGATAACAATCACAACAAAACCGGCCCAAAATGACAACTTGACATTTAACCTTTTCAAAATGAGATAGAGATAAAATTTCTTCGTGATAACAAATTCGAAATAATGAATTTATCTTTAAAAAAGTAGTAAAGTCCAAATCAGTAATTTATAGCTATGATGTATCCCGATAGAAATCGATCCAGTTAGCAGCTAGTTAATAATAATATCCCGAAAAAAGTATGATTTTCAGTATGGCAAAATGTATTTTTCGATTGGGTCCTAGGGAATATGTAAAACAAAGGATCAAATTACCTATAATTAAGTTTATTCATGATAGTGTAAGTTTGTATAAAACCAGAACAAAGAATGGAGTGCATAATTTAAGAGATATATTGTTGAGAGGAGCTATAATAGCTTTTATTACATCTTTATTAGTTTGGTTATCAATATTTATGTACTTAGCTTTCTACTATGTGTATGTACCTACTTTAAGGCACGAAAGACCTGTTCATTTGAAGTTTAAGTAAGTTTTTGTGTATTTACATAATATAATGATTAATAAATAAGCATTTTATTAAATGTAGGCCATGTGGAACTACTTACGACCATCAGTTAGAGAAGGGGATGTGTAGTTTTCCTTCTGCATATGTTCAGTTAACTTCTAGGCAGCAGTTATTGATGATGGGACAACCTTATAGAATATCACTAGATTTAGAGATGCCTGAATCTCCAGTGAATAAGGAATTAGGTTTGAAATGAACCTAAACTTAGAAAAATAGCAAGGAATGATGATTTTCTTATTTTTTTAGGAATGTTTATGGTTTGTGTAGATTTTAAGTCAAGTGAGGGCAAAACCATAGCAAACTCATGCAGATCTACGATGTTACATTATAGAAGCCTGCTTTTAGATTCGTTGTACAAATTATTTTATATACCGTTTTTTATATTCGGTTCTACAGAGGAGAAGCAGAATATACATGTGGAACTTTTTTCAGATTATAAAGAATCAGAGGTAGGATTTTATAGCATTTATTTAAAACTGTAAGCAATTGATTATTTTTAGTATGAACCTGTCACGGATATTTTTATCGAAATTCAGACAAAGCATATTGAAATTTACTCTGCGAAATTTTCAGTTAATGCGGAGTTTTCAGGCCTGAGATATGTCATGTTTAACTATCCAGTATTATCAGCTACTTTTGGTAAAATTAATATACGTAGTGAGAGACATTTGTATAATTTTTTTGTTTAATTTGTAGGAATATCATCAAATTTATTCTTTATTGCTTTGGTATGTTTGATTAATTGGTATCAGATTATCAATTCAGATGAATATTTGCAGTATGTAGAGTCCCAAAAAACTGTATTAAATTTAAATAATGGTAAGTAACCTTTTATTAACGTCAAGTCACCTTTTATTTGATATAATTTTCTATAAGTCTCTTTTCAAAATACAAATACTCCCACCTTAATAAAAAGACATTCAGTATAAGGCATATAGGCTTGGTGCATTCTCCGCCAGTGCTGCCACCATTGGAGAATATTGTAAACAATCGATATAATACAAATACACAGGTTTAAATAGCGAATATACGAAAAATGTATTATTTAATCATTTTAAAAGTGTTAGGAAGTATAATTTGTAAAAATTCTAAAAATAAAAATAAAAAAGTAAATTTTTGATATTTGCAGAAGGTCTAACTTGTATTATAATTTATTATTCCAGTTAAAACACTTTTTAGATGAGTTCAACTATGGTAGCAAGCATAGTTTTAATTACCAGTTTTGCTAGTGGGGCATAATTGGAGATATTTTGGCTATTACGATATTTTTTAAAGGTACATAATTATAATTTTAGAAGATGTTCATAATAAAACATTTAATCTAGTTGATTAAAAAAAGTATACCATTAATATTGTAAATTATATTTGATCCTCTCATAGTATATCTCTATTTAATTTTTTGATTATGTAACGAGCACTTTGTTTACTCACTTGTTTCGTCGAACTGCTTGAATCTTGAATTTACTTTTGCTTTTGATCAAATCGGTATAAGAAACTATGAACCTATAAAATGTTGTTTCGGAAGAGTGGAATATCGGGGAAAGTTGAGTTATTAAATATTATTGCACCCAACAACACCGTAATTACGCTCTCCTTTACGCGTTAGCATTTTTTCGGCAATTTTATTAACATTTGAAATTGTCACAACACAATACGACGCATAGTTTGAATTCTTTTTCACTCATTTTCTACTACTCGAAACAGCGTTATATCACACAAACCTCATACCTGAGTGTTTTATAGTCTCAATAACTGCACTAACAAAAAACTAAAATACTTAAATATTATGACAAAACCACGATTTGAATATTATTTTAATGCGATCAACATGACGGTGGCGTGAAATAGGTAGGGATAATTTCTGATTCCTGCCGTAGAGTGCGCTGCGGTCGGAATTTGTTGAAATCAACTGAAATGCACCAAGCCTATAGGGAAATCAATAAAAATTGGTGTACAAGTCACTAAAATATTTGGCAAATGCAATATTGCCACAGCAGCTTATTTTAACTTTTGACAAGTGTCAAATAAAACTCACTAATGTTATCACTGATCTTCTACAACTATAATATTTTTTACTATTATTTGCGGCCAGGGTTGGCATGATTTAAATCAAGTGATTTTTTTAATTTTAATCATGTTATTTAAATCAAAAAAATTATTTTATTGAAATTTGTTTTATAAATCAAAAAATAACTGTAAAAGTTATAAAAATCTGTCCTAGAAAACTATCAAAAATATTTCTATAACAGATATTAAATCGAAAAATAATTGTAAATTTTATAAAACTATATAAAAATATCTATTCATCAATTTAAATGTTGAACCGATTTTTGAAGTAATTTCGTGTGAATCCATAAGACCGCTAAACGCAGGAATTTATTTTAAAATTTATTTATAAGTGACAAAAATTCGCTTTTCGAATACATATCATTCGCCGACTAGTGCCAGAACTAGGTTCTTCTCTCAGTTCTTCTGATATAGAGACTATATCTTCATTCCCGAAAATCTATAATCGTTGTCAGAAAATATGTTGTTTTATTTTTTTTTTTTTTTTTTTTTGAAACGTTGATATGTTTCCAAATTCTTACCGACCGACATTTTGATTTGCAGTAAGTACTTTACACTTTGACATTAGATAATACTATTTTCATTCTCGCCTTAAGACTATTTCCGAACAATAGTGTATTGTTTTATTATGAGTAGAAATTATACTTTTTTTGACGATGCTGTACATTTGAAGGACCATCGTAACGCTATACCATCTAAGCTTTTCCGACGTTACAAGGAGGTACAAAAAGTACATTTTTACTCTGAATAAAATACTATTTTTTTAAAACATTACAAATAATTTTTTAATCAATTTCAAACATTGCAAATAATACAAACAGTAATCGAGAAACGATTTGTACACTCGTTGAATTTGACACCTAATATCAGTTTAATAATATATTTTTGTACTTTTGTGCTTAGGCGTAACAGTGCTTTACTTTTATGCCTATAGCCGTTAAAATGACAAAAATTAATACTTTTGAGACGTTGGAAAAAAATCCTTTTGATCTGAAGCGAGCGACTTTTTTGCGGAATATATTGGTGACCGATGTGGAAAAATGACACGCCCCGTAGAATTGTTAATGTTATCGGTATCGCTCAGAGTTATTAAGACTTAGCTATTTAGGATAGGACTTTAATTGGAAATAGGTCCTAGTCATTTGGAAATCCGATTTAAATATTGTTTTGAATTAAAATAAAAAAAAATCTGATTGAAATAAAAAAATCCGATTTAAATAAAAAAAATCCGATTTAAATCAAAAAAAATCTGATTTTATGATTTTTTCCAACCCTGTTTGGGGCACACTGTAATGAAGCCTTAAAACTTTTACTGTAATTTCACAAAATTGAAAATATTTCAAAAACGGTAAGTTTTAAGTGTGATAAATCTTAATCAAATTTTTTTTTACCTTTATTTTAATCGTAGAAACTAAAAATGTAATAATATACAGGGTGTTCCGTTTAAAAAAATACAACTTCGATATTTTTTATTTATTTGGGACGCTCTGTATCTTGTAAAAATATTTTTAAATTGTAGCTCTAATACTCCTTCAACGAACCCAAAACTTACAATTTGTAAAAATCTAATCGTTTAGCTACAATACTCCGTGTCGTATGTGGTGAACAACCCTGTATAATAACATTTTTTTTCAGAAGAAGAATATAACACTGATTCTGATTCATCTGAAGGAAGTTACCTAATCACTGGAGTAAGAAAACGAAGACAAAAGATAGAAGAAATTCCAGGCAACTTAAACTATAACTAGACCAAAGAATTTCCCCTTTTTTACCATTTTTACCTGTTTTTATACACAAATAAACCAACGTTAAACTTTATAAATATATATTTTATTGTAAAATACAGTTCAAGTAGATTGATAAACTTAACTTTTATGTTGAAAAAAAGATAATGTGAACCATGAAAAACATCAACAGTAAAAAAAATGGTTGCTTTATTATTAAAATGTTATTCTTACTGGAAGGTAGTTTTTTGTAGGATTTTAGAAAACAGAACAAATATATATATAAAACAGTTTACAAGTTGTTTTAATCTGAGGCCTCGTCGTCCAGCATCACTACGGAATCGGAGTCTGAACCGGAACCGTCAGAAGCGTCAACGTGGTTTTCTTCCTCTTCCTTATCCTGTTCTTCTTCCCATTCTTCGTTTTCGTCACTGTCCGAGGCGATTTCGATCTGCATTTCCTCCTCTGATTCTGAATCGGAAGTATCTAAAAAAATATTCAATACATACCTTATACCAACCAAAAAAAAATATACTGGGTCTATGGTTGGTTCCTTGTGAAGCATCGTTGAAATATTAATATTTTAATAAAACACGCTTTTACATGTATCAAAATTAAATAAAAAGGCAGGCCTAACATTTATGTTCGGCCTAACAAGCCAAAACATGGGTATGTAGAGTTAAAGTTACTCTTAGGGCTCGAACACACTGACGACCATGTCGCACCTGCCAGGCCGCAGCTACCTCTAAAACCATTAAATCAAATGATATAGCGCACACTAACGTCCTGGCCGTCCGTTGGTCGTTGCGACCAGAAGACTGCACGGAAATATTATTTTCTGCCACTTGTTGCCGGTTTTCTTTCCCTCAAATTCAAGGTACAATATTTTATTTTCTATAAGATATAGTGTTTTAGTGGTTTTTGCACACGTGCAGAAAATCCAAAGAAATAGTATACAGACTGGATCAAAGGTAAACTTAAATCTAATCCCTTTTTTTATCAAGGGTCGATTCTAGTAAAAACTCAAAACATTTTTATATGACATACCTACTCTAATTATGGTTGGTATGATACCTGTTATTATTACCTTTGACAAAATAAAAAAAATAATATTTAAAGTTTTTCTACAACCACTTGTTTTTTTATTAAATTAGTTTTTTTAGTTGTATTGTAGTCATGTACAAGGAGGACAACTGTATTTTAAATACGATATTTAATTTAACGTTTTTCAAACAGGGTTCATTAGACTATATTTCTACTAGGTACATTATTTTGAAAAAAAAGTTAAGATAGTAACTTAAACATTCATAAAAATAGAAGTAATTACTGTTGTAGATTCTTCGTTATATTGTAAACATTGAAATAACTGGAAGCTAAACTTTCTACCTGCTTATATTTAGAGCCAGTGTCTGACGATCTTTTTTTACGATGGCCCTAACATGTTTACTTCTAAAGACGATAAGGGCGCCATATCAGTAGAAAAAAGAAACAGAATATCTCCCATTTTGTCGGTCGCGCGTACACAATGCTTTTTGTTTGTTGTGAATAGCAACTTCGCTTTTTAGTTAACTCGGATATTTTAACATTTCTGAAACAATATTTTCTAATTGGTAAAACGTAAAAAATCGTTAGATTTGACAACACTGTTGAAACTGGTCGTTCATCTGGCCGCAGCTAAAAACGCAATACATCCGGCCAGGTCGTTGCGACCTGGTCGTCAGTGAGTTCGAGCCCTTATTTAATTTTGATACATCTAAAAACGTGTTTTATTAAAATCACAACTATCGATATATTTTAGTTATCGATATGTCGATAATTATCGGTAACAACCGAATTACCGATAGTTATCGATAACTATTGATTTAACGAGAATTTTGAAGCCACCAGTAGGTAAGAATAATCTTTCGATATATCGATAGTTATCAGTAATCGATGTTTACGGAAATGCTGTTAATACATCCCTAATAAATTTTAAGGTTTGATAATCGATATATCGATGACTACCGAATTACCTATTGTTATTCGATATTTCGATAACTATCGATATAAAAAGGCCATCCCTAATAGTATGTATCTGGTATAAAAAGTGGTCTTAGGAAGATTTAACATATCGATAACCAACAATATATCGATAAGTATTGATAGGTCGATATATCGATAACTATAGATAGATATCGAGAAAAAAGCCCATCCCTAGTTGTAAACTTTTACTAGAGTAAGTAAACCGCCGAGTAGCGACAGTCCCGTTTTAAATTTTCTTTGCGGCTGCGCGAAATAGGTAGGTTATCTGTCATATGAAGAAGCAAAGTTGCCACTGTTGCCATTTATCAAATATCTCTATACAGAGTCCGGCGATAGTGCGTCGGGCATCTGTAGCTCCTAAAATAAAAAACTTGGAAATTTTGTTTAAGTGCAAACCTAAAGTATGTACTAGGATGTATTTTAGGAAAATATTTTAACTTCTATAGGGTGGCTCAAAAAGTGTGAGTGGATCGGGATGATTTTTTTTTAAATGGAACACCCTGTATATTATCGCATTTTTGACTTCCTTTTAGATCATTTTACATAATTCTATGACATGAGTAAATATATTTCGATAATTTCAGAGATATTAATTAATAAATAAAAATTATATGTTTTTCAGCCTTTCTTAAAAAAATTATTAATAATACAAGAACTGTCCTAAAATCAAAACCATATTAGATATTTACTTTAGATGGTCTGTACTTACTTTGCTATAAATATGGAAATCGTAAATCATACAGGATGTTCAAAATTCTACGCCAAACTTTTTAAAATATAAAATTTTTCTGTGTTTTTTTAAACGGAACACCCTGTATATTATTTTTTCAATAGATAGAGAATTAAAAAATAAACATGTTTTGCATTTAAAGTATTTCAAAAATTTTAACGGTTTTGCAGATATTCCCGGTTTTGTATTTCATATAGCATTTTCCACAGTAAATTTTTATCAAAGCCACCCAATGATTTTTCTCTCGTATTTTACCATTAAAAGCGCCATATGAAATAATACTGCGTGTATCCGGAAAACTATTAAAAATTTTTGAAATACTTTAAATATAAAAAATGTTTATTTTTTAATTCTCCATCAAATAAAAAAATAATATACAGGGTGTTCCGTTTTAAAAAACGAAGAAAAATTATTTTATATTTTTGAAAGTTTGGCGTAAAATATTGAACATCCTGTATGATTTACGATTGCCATATTTAAGGTGTACGCGCACTGAATCGGTACCAGTCCGGCGAAGGCGGTGACTCGACTATCGTAGAAAGGTAGAGGTAGGAATCTGGCCTCTACAGGCCGAAATGTTTTAGTGGACGCCGGCGCCGTCTATATGTACGATGGTCGCAGTCGCTTTTGCTGGTCGGTCCGATCCGATGCAGTGCGCGCGGAGCCTTATATCAAAGTAAGAACAGACCATCTAAAGTAAATATCTAATATAGTTTTGATTTCAGAACAGTTCTTGTATTTTTAATATTTTTTTTTAAGAAGGGTTAAAAAAAATATATTTTTGATTTATTTTTTAATATCTCTGACACTATAGAAATATATTTACTCATATCTTAGGATTATGTAAAGTGATCTGAGAGGAAGTCAAAAATGCAATAATATACAGGGTGTTCCATTTAAAAAAAATCATCCACATCCAGTCACACTTTTTTGAGCCACTCTATAGAAGTTAAAATATTTTCCGGAAATACATCCTCATACATACTTTAGGTTTGCACTTAAATAAAATTCTCAAGTTTTTTATTCTAGGAGCTACAGATGCCCGACGCACTATTGCCGGACCCTGTATACTTTATTTCAAGTATACCTCAGGCAACGAATCGTGTTTTTAATTTAGCTGTAAGATATTTTATACATTCAAATTTAGAAATAAGGATAAAACAAAACAGAAAAAATATGTATAAAAATTTATAATTAATTCCACTTCAAAATATGAGCAGTGTATACCATGTTTATGGGACCACTTCATAAGTTGAGCAGTTAAATACGTAGTCTATCTGTCAAACACGTCAAAAGAGCCGACGGTTTCTGTCGCTACTTGGCGATCTACTTACTCTGCTTTTACCAATACGTTTAAATATTTTTACAACATGATCGAAAAAAAAAGCGTCAGAGCTGGCTCTGAAATAAAGATCGCTCTCATCGATCGATGTCATCGATCATAATTTCCAAGCCAACTGAACGCCGTTTTTTTTTCGATCATACAGTACAATGATTGTATATTCAAATATGAAGGATATTATAAAAAAAAATAATATATAATTTCACTGTCACTCAAGGTAAATAAATTAATATTTTTTTTTGGAAATTTTAAATTTGTATTTTATATTAATTTTTAAACCTACCTTTATCATTAAAAACAAGAACTGCCTCATCCTCATCAACATTATCAGCATTACTGGTATTAATTTGCGGAACCAAAAGTTCTAATTTCCCTCTTAACCTATTTAAAGACGTTTGTAACGATATCCTATTATCGATACTGCCTAGAGCCCCAGAAAACATCTCTGCCAGGTTAGGATTCGATATCAAGAGACCCGCATGGATTTGCGCCAAGTGTTTCAACCAAAGTGCACCAAAATGACTCCTAAAAATATTCTAAATAAGATTTAATCAATACAAGAAACAATTTGAGACTTACAAAAGAGTTTTTCCATGGACAAAGTCAGTTAGTTCCTTGATCAAACCTTCGAAAGCCGTAACTGGTAATCTTTTTACTGTATTCCTAATAACATTCTCATCTTTTCTACACAAAGCTGTTCGAAGTAAGTTCCTGTCTTTACTGTGAAGACCTTGCAAAAGAAGCTGTGCCACATTATCGGCTTTGGGTATTTTTGAACTCCCTTCTGATTTATTTATCGTTAAATTCTCTAATCTCTGTTCCATAGGAATTTCCATTTTTCCCTCTGATTTCCTTTTACCTATAACAGCCCCCGCGGTTTGGGGTGTGAGATAATGGACATTATCTCCGACCAGGGGTGTTTTTCTTTTCATAGCATCATCTTCCTTCGAGACCTTTGTACTTTTCGAGCTTTGCCTTACTAAACAGTATACTTTTTTCAATTCACTAATATTCTTTAAAGAAAAAAAGTTTATTAAGTTTAATGAAAATATACAAACATGACTTTACATACCACATTTTCAAAAGTTAAAATTACATCTGATCCATGTCCAATACATATTGATTCTGAGTCCCTAAATGTGGCACCAAATATTCTTATTGGAGTTACTAAATCGTTTTGTTTTCCTGTATCACAAGCTACTTGTATGGTTGATTTGGGTTTTAAAGGTTTACCACTTTTACTAAAACCAATACAAATAATGAAGTTTTCTTTCAAACTCCATAAAATTACTTATTCTTACCCATTTAATCTGTGTTGGTAAACATGCACTACACCAGTTCTAACTGTTGTAGCAATGTTTGTTAATCCATCATCAGATACATTAATAGCAACGTTATGTATGCTGTCTTCCATAAGATAATTGCTTACAGCAGTTTTTTGAGATGGGCTTGTAATGTTCCAACAACTTAAAATTCGATCACCCTAAAACATTTCTTTAGAATTATGTTACATAAGTAATATAAAAGTTTACCTTGGAACCTGTCATCAGATATGAATCACCCCCTAAAGGGCTAATGTACTTCATAAGGGATATATCTGTACTATGACCAGTAAAAGTCCTTAAAAGCTCCTTGCTTGTTGCATTCCACATTTTCACATTTTTCGAGGCTGTTAAAATATTTTCACTTTCTGGTATTGCTAATATTGAAGTGATTAATTCATTTCCACCTTTCCATTTGCTAAAATTGAATATAATTTTTCAAACAGGGCAAATATAAGTTTGATAAATGAAAACAACCTTTTTAATGTTTTCTTTCTTAAATTCCATTGTAAAATCTCTTGATCAGCACCTGAATAAAGCAAACTACCGTCTACAGTAGACAGACAGTTAATTTGTAGGTGTGTATTACTATCTATAGTATAATCTACGCCAGCTTTTGATAGAGAATAAACTAGAATGAGGCCAGATGTTGTTCCTAAAACTATACTAGGTGCTAAACTTGGATCTTCTTTGCGTTTTTTCTTTTTCGGTGAAGGTGATCCCTAAAATTCATAGTTATACATTACACGTACTAAAAATTCTCTCAAAACTATTTTAAAATCTTACTTTGTTAACAGTGTTTTGATAGTGCGGCAGAAACTGTAGACAAGTGCACGGCGTATTTAAATGAAAATCCGGGGTAAATTCTTGCTCGAAGGAGCTGGACACTGTATTCCATATTTTAAGTTTACCATCAGTTGAAATCTGAGCGAAATATTTTCCATTTTCACTAAATTGTGAATCCATTTCTACACTCTACACGCTTATAAGAATAACATAACCTTAATGTTTTGTGAGGTTATAGTAGTAGTATATTAGTTTAATGGCCACAGCTGCCAGGGCTATCCGGCCGGATGGTAGAATTAACTACCTACGGTTGAGCGTTTATATAGATGATGACACACAGACGAGGATCGCTATAAAGCGAGCCTGGGAAATCCCATACCCCGACTGTTGAGTTGAAGAAAATGTTGGCAAAGGAAGATCCTGCAAAATAAACAAATTTAATAACAATTTCATTTAAAATGTGAAAGATTAATTCCACAACTATCTAAGAATTCGCCTATAATATTAACTACAATTGGATGAGTATGCAAAGCGGAGGTAAAATTATGAGGGGATGTTTTGTAAAAGCCAATAAGTGATTTATATAGTTTATCTACTAAAGCGGGAAATTTATTGCATTCAAAAAAGATGTGGTTTAACGTTCCAATTTCTCCTCACTCACATAAGGAATCTGCATTTACACCTATACGATGTAAATGGGACGGAATTAGACAATATCCGCTTCTTAATCTGAAGAAGGTTGTCAATCTTTTCTTTGTAAAATCTTTACATGATCTAAACCATATGCTTTTGTAGGGAAAAGTAACAATTTCTGCATAATTTGTCCCTTTTGTACAAGAAATCTCCTTCCATCTGCCTTTCCATAACGACCAAAACTTTTCCTTAAGAATTGGAATAAAATCAGTAAACCAACATTTAATCTCAGCATCTCGACCATCTGTCTTTCCAATATTTGCTAATTGATCAGCTTTATCGTTGCCTAAAATATTCGTGTGACTGGGTAGCCATACCAATGAAATTCGAAATTGTTTTTCTCTTAACTCAAATAGTTTACGTTTTGTAGCAAATGTAATTTGACTGTCCTTAAAATTAGGATAAGCTGCTAATGCTCGTAAAGCACTTTCACTATCACTAAAAATTACAGAATCCTCCAATTCTTTGCTTTCAATTACATTCAATGCCATCATAATAGCAACATTTCTCCAACAAATATGGAAGCATATCCAGGAATCATATAGGTGGCTTCCAAATTTAAATCCGGGCAAAATATACCCACTCCAACATTTTTATTTACTTCCTTAGAAGCGTCCGTAAAAAACTTAATTTTTTGTTTAAATTTTAACTCAATAACTTCTCTAAATTTAATAGAATTATTTTCACTCTTATTTAAATCCAATCTTAAATATTCATTTTTACTAAAATAAAGAGGAAACTTATAATAATGATGCATATTAACAACATCAACATCTTGAACATGAGGAAAAATTTGATCAATGCCTTCAATAAGAGGAGGAACATGATAATATCTTGACCAAAAACCAAATGATTGATTATATGCCCCATAAGCTTCTGTAACAGACTGAATAATGGGATTATCCTGAATAGAGAATGCTTTTAAAAGCAATTTAGTGGCCAAAAAATTACGTCTAATATTAAGGGGAAGTTCTGCCGATTCTGATAAAATGATATTAGTTGGACAGGAACGCATAAACCCTAAACAAATGCGTAAGGCTTGAAAATGAACTTTATCAAGTTTTTCTAATAACTTTTTAGAACATTTAGCTAATAATATACTACCATAATCTAAATGTGACCGAATATAGGACTTAAAAAAATTTAACATAGTAATTGGATGTCCCCCCCACCAGGTTTTACAAAAATATCTCATTAAATTAATACCCTTAGTAGCTTTAGAACACATAGCCTCAATTTGATGATTCCAAGAAAACCGATTATCAATAAAAATACCCAAATATTTAACATATTCAACCCATCTAATAACATGATTTTGAAATTTAATATCTGGTAAAATACGATTATAAAATTTTCTTTGAATTAAAATACAGGAAGATTTTTCAGGAGAAAAACTCATTTCATTTAATCTCGCCCATTCCTCAAGACTGTCCAATGTAACATTTAATTTATTAACTATCAAATCTATATCATAACCTTGAGCCAGGAGAGCAATATCATCAGCATATTGAATTAATTTAACATCATCCCCAATAAAGTCACTAACATTATTAATATAAATATTAAATAAAATTGGAGCTAAAGGAGATCCTTGTGCTAAACCCTTATTAGTAAAACCAGGACCAATCAATTTTTTTGAAAAATTATCAACAATATAAATTTTCCTGTTGGTATGTATCTCTTTAATGTATTTACAAATATTCTCTTCAATACCCAATTCAGCTAATTTACGAATCAAAATAGAAATATTAACTTTATCATATGCATTTTTCATATCTAAAAAAACAATTACTGAAAATTTATTATATGAGAGTCCAGAAATTATCGATGAACATAAAGAAGTTAATGCTTCAAAAACTCCTTTACCTTTTCTAAACCCAAACTGAGAATCACTGAGAATTTTGTGGTTTTCCACATACCAATCCAATCTACATTTCACTATATCTTCCATAATTTTCCCTATGCAAGATGTGAGAGTAATTGGCCTGTAACCGCTAATATTATTTAAATTTTTATTAGGTTTAGGAATTGGACAAACTAATCCTGTTTTCCAATCGTCTGGAATTAATTCTGAATGATAAAGAACTTGATTAAAGAAGTACACTAAAAATTTAATATGATTCAAAGGAAGATTATTGATCATGGAATAAGTTATTAGATCAATGCCTGGAGCAGAATCTCTCTGCTTTCTAAATATGGCAACCTGTGTCTCCTCAAGAGAAATATTAGAACTCTGACACTTTTGAAATAAAATGTCAGGATCTACATCTGGAATAATTGGGGGCGCTAAAAGGGCAAGCATATCTTCAGCAATGGAACAATTCAAAGGTTTTCTTAACGAAATTTGATTAATTGATTTTGAAAAACGTTTTATTTTACACCAAACCTCATTAATAGGTGTTAATGGAGATAGACTACTACAATAATTATTAAAACTTAACTTTCGTTTTTCTCTGAGAACTTTTCGACATTGTGCTCTAGCCTTTCGAAAAAGTATATAATTCTTCTCCGTAAACTGTCTTTTAAACGTCTTAAATGCTGCTCGTTTACTTTCCCAGGCTATATCACAATCTTTATCCCACCAAGGATTACCTAGTCTCTTTTCTTTCTTATTTACCGGAATTGACTTGTTGGCCGCATTTTTAATCTGCTGAACAAAATGATGATAAGACAAACTGTTACTTTGACCATCATACTCCGTCAAGCAATCATAAAACAAAGGCCAATTAGCTTTCTTAGTATTGTATCTATTTAAAAAATTATTGTTATTTAAAAGCATTGATACATTCTTGCAAAGAATGGGAAGATGATCGCTCATACCTATATAATCTGACAAAACCTCAAACGAATAATCTTGTAGTAATGAATTATTTCCCAGAATTAAATCTGGAACACTTTTATGCTGATTGGGAGGAGTAATCCGCGTGGCATCTCCATTATTCAAAAAAGTCAAATTATGAGTTTCCAATATGTCAGTAAGAATAAAACCATTGCTATTATTAACATCTGAACCCCACGCCATGTGTTGGGCATTAAAATCTCCCATTAACATTAACTTTTTCACCCCAACCCCTGCATAAGCAGTCAGATGAGTGAAAAAATTTTTAGGTAAATTTGAATCTGGCGGATTATAAATTAATGCAAGATAAAACATTTCTAACTCAATAATTTTATGTTGAAATTTTGCTGGAACTGAAATATTGCTTATATCAACTAAATTAAATGGAATCGAATCCCTGATTAAAAAGGCAATGCCACCTTTTCCATCATCTCTATCTGCCCTCAAGCAAACATAACCCAAAATATTAAACGAATTATTTCTATTTAGCCATGTCTCATTTAATCCAATAATATCAGGACTAAAATCTCTTATGATATTCATTAAGGTATCTCTGTTAGACAAAACACTTCTAATATTCCATAAAATAATAATCATATATAAATATTAAACATTATAAAAAATAACAAAATTAAACCTGACTGGACATAAATAAGAGTAAATAACCATAAAATAATAAAGTAAATATAACATGTAAGAATTTAAAAAATAAAGTTTTTATATGGCTCTTTTTGACTTCTTTGTAATATGTTTATCTTTAGTTTTAACATTTGTATCATTTATCAACTTTCTTAAACTTGAACTATCTACAAAACTTTCTTGAGACTGAACAATATTTTGGCTAGATGATTCTAAACTAAAATTGGATGACTCTCCAACCTCCATAGATGCATCTATATTTTCATCAATTTTGGATTTATTTTCAGATTGTGATAAATTATTTAAAATTGGACTGGATGATAATCTAGCCGAATCAGGAAAAAGGATGTCTTTATAAGATATTTTGGTTTGTATCCTCTGTGAAACGGGAGAACGAGGTCTACTTTTCTTTAAGGTAGAAATATAATGATGCTTCTTTACAGATCTAGGGACAGACAAATTAACTAAAGTCTCGGGAAAATGCTGACTATCTGGAGAAGAAACGTGTTCCTTTGGAAATAATTTATTTGCTTCAAAAAAAGATATGTTATGCTTAGCCATCGCATCATTAATCATAAATTGCCTTTTAAATTCTTTGCATTCCTTGTTAGTGGGATAATGATTTTCTTTACAATTAATACATTTAATTTCTAATTGATTTAAAGAACATCTATCATCATCTTCATGAGTATCACTACACTTAATACATCTTTTCCTACTCCTACATTGCAGAATTCTATGTCCAAATCTGTAGCAATTATGACATATAATTACTGGAATTTTATAAGTATGAATTTCGCGTAAAACATTGAACAATTCCAAATCCAAAGGAACTTGATTACCTTTAAATGTAATAATAAAGGAATTAGTCCTTTTCCTTGTCATGGTATTATCTTCATTTCGAGATCTTTTATAAATTCTACGGGCATTTAAAATTTTGATTCTGGAATTACCCCTTATACCTAGTCCATAATTAATAATATCTTCTTCATATATATCATCACCCATGTTCCACACTACACCTCTACAAGTGATCATCCTGGGAGGAATAGTAATTACCCAATTTTTATTTAAAATTTCTTTATTATTGACAAATGAATTAGCTTGTTCAGGAGTATTAAAATATATGCCCATTCTATTTCTCCCTTTACTTTCGATTTTTTTAATTCCCTCAATTTTGTTTTCAAATAAATATTTTCCAACATTCATCGGATGAAGGGAACGTTCACCTTGGATAACTGCAAGGAAGGGAGGAAAAGCAGAAATATCATACTCTGAAATTTTATTTGTATATTTCCTAATATTAAAAAAACATTGAGAAATTTCTTGCTGTACTTCAACATCATCTATAAATTTATTTCTAATTCCATAAAGTTCCTCTTCCAGGTGCTTAATGACATTTACGGGTATTTCTTGACATGTACCTTTTGAAAAGCTCAAAATTAAATTGTAATTTTGGGGCGATAAAATATGGGCTAATTTTCGAACGAAATCATTAGGAGGACCCGTAGGCCCCCCTTCCCCATTTAGCATAGGATCAGGAACGATCAGGAAGGGTCAGCAGGATTTTAAGGCTAGGATTATATAAGCAAAAAACTAAAACACTTAAATGAAAATCCGGGGTAAATTCTTGCTCGAAGGAGCTGGACACTGTATTCCATATTTTAAGTTTACCATCAGTTGAAATCTGAGCGAAATATTTTCCATTTTCACTAAATTGTGAATCCATTTCTACACTCTACACGCTTATAAGAATAACATAACCTTAATGTTTTGTGAGGTTATGTATTAAACTGAAAACAGAAAACGACTTTACCGACTTTCTTCTTTTTAAAAACTTGGATTTTTAAGGAGTATTAATTATTAAAAACTCTAAAATTTGAGTAATAAAAACAAATATCTGGTAACTAGCATATTAAGGCTTAAATATATTGTTTTAAAAGTTCAAGTAGGATATAATATCCCATAAAAATCTGCTTTTTAGGATTTTTTCATCACGGTATTTAGTGCCTGCTTCTCTGGTGCCTGCTTTAGAAAATGAAGAAATGAAGAATGCTTTGACAAATGACAGCAAATGACAGATTTCATATTGTCAATATTTGTCAACAAAAGGTTGTGTTGGCAAAGTAATTTTAAAAATATTTTTTAATAAGTTTATTTAAATGTAATGTCATTCGTTTTTTTCAACAAATTTACATACAACGAGGAAAAATGTCGAATTGGTTAAATCTTAACGAGAGCTTGAGCAATTTAAAAGGCCAAATATCGAATTTTGCCAACAATGTTTTGGCTGAATCTGAGGAAGGTGAGATACGTGTCTTATCGTTATTTTAAAATTTGGGACGTTTAAAAATACCTAATATTTATTTATAAAGGCACTTTAATTATGTGTTTATTTCAATTTTAGGAGTACAGTCGCCAAATGAGGAATACGAAAGTTTAAAAAGGATCTGTGCTGAAAAAGATCACCAAGTAAGTTCATAAACACGCTATTCAATATACAATAGCTGCACTGTATCAACGACCTGCGTTACTGTATAATAAATATGGAATTACAACAATATTAAATAAATTATTGTAGGTGCATAAACCTTGAACTTTAGTATCGCAGCATTTATGCATGTGTATTTCCTAATGCACAGCGAAATTAGTTAGTTTTACAATGCAGTTATTATAAATGGTTTCGTCGCTAACAACTACACGTAAACTAGAGTTTTTTTTTTTATATTTTAGATAGAAAATTTAAAGAAAATTAATAGTGAATTGCAGAAATCATCACAGGTAAGTTTTTTCTTTATATATTTAAAGTGTGATTGATCGCATGTGTTTTTAGAAATAATTTTATTAATTAATATAGATTTTTTATAGTAATTTCATTGCCAATAAAATTATGAAATTGTACAGGTTATGTGTAGAACGGGTGTGGGATTTTTTTCGTATGAAATTATTACACAGATCTACTTATTGTTAAATATTCTTTTTACACACAGATGGCAGTATAAGCACTGAATTTACTCCATTTTAGAAACATTTTTTGTCTTTTTAGGGTTCAGTACCCAAAGGGTAAAAACGGGAACCCTATTACTTGACTTCGCTGTCCGTCCGTCCGTCTGTCACAAAGGTCTATCTTATGAACCGTTATAGCTAGACAGTTGAAATTTTTACAGATAATGTATCTATGTTGCCGCTATAAGAACAAATACTAAAAACAGAATTAAATAAATGTTTATAAATAAAAAAGTACTTGCACTAACCATTATCTTTTAAGTAAGAATTTTACATAGAATCTTTCAAGTCCTCGGTGGCCGCGTGGTTAAAGTATTAGGACTTTACGCTGCTATGACGTTCGAGCCGTAGTAAGCAGTTCGAATCCTAGTCAAGGCGGCTTTTTTTTAATCGTTTTTTTTTTAATTTTTACATATTTCTACATATTTATTTTTACTTTTTACATATTTATTATTGATTAATACAATATTTAGTAATGTGTTTCTTCATTTTTTTTTTAAATTATACGCACATTCAGAATTTCAGCTAAATCGGAAAAAAGTCTATAATAATAATACCATATGATCGAGAAAAAACGGCGTCAGCGATGGCTATGAAATGAAGATCGCTGTCATTTTATATGTAAATTTATATGGGAAATGTCATTGATGTTCATTTCCCAGCCAACTGGACGCCGTTTTTTTTTCGATCATACGGTACATATAGTGTCTATATGTTGTATGGTACGGAACCCTTCGTGCGCGAGTCCGACTCGCACTTGACCAATTTTTTTGCTAGAAAAACGATTTGTTTTACATTGTCTGTTACCTATTCATATACATTTTAAAAAATTAATATTTACATTGATAATGCACTTTTTATCAGCTTACATAGCACTAAAATTTTATCTTTAAATGGACTTGCTATATTTTAGGTCAAGCTTGTTAAATGTATAATGTTTTACTATAAGGATTTTAAATTTGCTGCTTTCAAGGAAATATTAAGCGTTGTTCTTTGTGTTTTGTTTAATTCGCAATATTATTAATATATACTTTGTTTAAAATGATTGGCTAAGTAAATTATTTTTTTCTTCTTAATTGTGTATTTTTAGCGGTTTAGGAGTTATGACAATTTTTTTATTAATAGCATATAAGGATTTTCAGATAAGATATCTAGTTTTATCTACCTTAAATACATTATTGTGTTATATTAACGGTTGTGGGTAATGCAGGTTTGTATTGGGATTTATTTAAAGAGAATTGAAAATTACCTGAAATCAATTTGTGTTTCAGCTCTTGTTATAATCATATTTATTTTAATAACATATATATTATTTGCTCATTACTTTACATAATAAGCAATTAGGCTTTATACATATGAAAACAAAAGAAATTAAATACAAATATTTTTTTTTGGATTTAAATATAACAATTATTATAATAAATACCAATATACAAATTTTAATCGGTATTAAACGTGCTATACAATTTTACTAACAAGAGAAAAAAGTCAGTGGCGTACAAGTTTTTTTAGACAAATATTCCTGTAATAACCCATATGCACGTCCTTGGTGTCGACGCTTCTTTACACTTATAGTAACTTTTATGTGGAAATCATTTACGTGGAGATACACAATTTTTTTGTGTATCAAAAAATTAATTTTTATGCATAGTAATAACATCAGAGTTATTACGAAAATATTTTTTTAGAAAATTGTACCACCCTGTGTCTCAAAAGTCAAGATGCTTAACACATACATTAGGCCGGGGCGAAAAAAAAATTTTGGATTTTTATCTTGTCATACTTTTAAAAGTGTGTGGAACTGATTAAAACTTAAATTGCTTCACTGATTTTAAATCAGTGATACTTCTTCTCAGCCATGTGTGTCTCGAAATCCTCCAAATAATCCGCCTTGGATTATTCCTCCTCCCGTAGTATGCAAATCATTGTTAGTACATTTGCAAATCATTGTTGTACAAATGAGCCAGGTACAGACAAACGTTCTGTACCTGGCTCATTTATGAGAATCAAATTTGCTGAAATATCATCCAAATACAATCCTGAAAACATAATTTATACTGACGGTTCAGTAACAAGTGTTCACACTGGTTGTGCTTTTGTCCACAGAGAAATACATAGTCAATTCCGATTACATCCCTACAATGATATATTAAATGCAGAACTTCTAGCCATTAAGGAGGCTCTAATATATATTGTTTCTTGTCCTCGGGCTTCTTGGCTGATATGCTAGCCTAGGTTCCAATATATCTGTATTGTGGATCCCTAGCCATGTGGGCATTACCGGTAATGAAAGCGCTGATCATTACGCAAAACATGCACGTCTAAACGGTACAGATAAGTTATCAGTTTATTCCACGGGTTGTCTGCTCACAAAAATCGCCCGACTGTGCAAATCCCTGGTTCAACTGAAGTGGGATGAAGATCCCAGAAGTGGAGGAACCTAAAGGTGCGTATTCATTATCCGAACGAACGAACGAACGAACGAATGAAAGTGCGGTATATTTAGACGGGGGCCGAACGCATGCGGCCGTTCGTTCGTTCGTTCGCTCGACCATCCGTTTCGAGTCGGTACATCAAAGGCGTTCGCCAACAAATGCCTCCGGTCTTCTCGTGCGGTCCTATCGTGCGGTCCCCGTCCATACCACTAGCGTACATTCGTTCGTTCGTTCGTTCGTTCGTGCGGATAATGAATACGCACCTTAACAAACTCTGGAATGTCAAAAAGACATTCTTCTGTGGTTTCTCCACATCGAGTCATGATCGTCGCAAAGCCGTAGTAATTAACAGACTCATGTTAGGGCATTGTAAGTTTTCTCATCAATTTTTGCTTAAGGGCCAATCACCGCCTCTATGTGATAAATGTAGTAATCCTTTAACTGTCAAACATATCCTTAAGGAATGTAGTCAGTTAATTAACCTAAGAGAGGCCTGCAATCTTTCGTCAGACATGTCAGTTATTTTTTCTACAAGTGAGCAACCAAAACTTTTTGATTTTCTGGAAAGATCGGGATATATATCTAAAATATAGGTATCTAAAAAGCTACATTTTGGTTTAAAGCAACCAATTACTAATTAAATTGTACATATTTTTACATTTTATTGTTTTATTCTATGTTGTTCTGTACCATTTACTTTATTTTTACAAAATCAATGTCTGTACTGTTAACATATACAATCTGTCTATAAACGTGTTGTTTAGTTTTTACTTTTTGTCAAATATTGTACCGAACTAAAGTAGAGGATGATACGCCGCTAAATAGCCTTTGATGCTGATGCGGCTTGAAAGCTAAAATTTCTTTCTTTCTTTCAGTGATACTTTTCTGACCGAAACATTGTGTAAGCAAAATAAATAAAGACAATGGAAGTCCGAAACTCTTTTAGTTTTAATACTGAATGATTGTCTACCACATTCAAAGTAACGTAGGAATTTTCATATTGGAGCTTTTTCGGAAACTGTGTCGCCCTGTTTTAAATCGACGTTAGTTAACGTTGACACCCTGTATACTCCGACCCTGTACTCTGTACTGTAAATATCGATCAGACATATATCATCTATACTAAATAGACATTTTGTTGAGCCCAAAAAATTATAGTAAGGCTACGGGCACTCGCGCGCTCACGTAGGAAACACATATTAAACATTCTTATCGAGAGCAAACAGCAGATGTTGGTTGAGGCAGATAAACTGATAAGCTAACCCGAAAAATAATAACAAAACGGGACTGAGCCCGTTTTGTTTGGTTTAGCTCGGAAGGGAGGTACTTATATAGGTGTATATCACCTCGCCAAAAAAAAATCAATAAGCTGTACAATTTACCAAAGAATATTATATCACACCACTGACACCACGCTATATTCATTAGATTTACTAAGAAATAATATTTTGGCTAATTATTTAACTACTAGCGTGTACCCGCTACTTCGTTCGCGTCGAATTAATCAGTTCTAATAGTGATGTTAAAGCAAAGCAAGAATTTCCATTAACATACAAACTGGATAAAATTTTCTCACATTTTTGTCAGCAAGAGAAAAAAACAATATGGCGATATTATTATATAACTTGGTAATATTTGAGGGGTAGTTTCATCTCGTTGGAATTTGACTTTCGAAAAATCCGTTTGCCAAAAATAAGCTTTTACGTCAAGCACTTTAAGCAGAATCGTGGTTAATCAATTACCCAACTTTATGGAACACCCTGTATGATTTTTAAAAAATTTCAAAATATGTAAAAAACAAAATAAATTATGCGTGTCCAATCGTTTTCCTGAAAGACTAACCGTTTTTTAAATAACAAATATTGTAATATTTGAGGGGCGTTTTTACCCTCTTGGAATTTGAGATTCGAGAAACCCCTCCTTATCGAACCTCACCCCACAGTCAATCCGTTTGCCAAAAATCAGCTTTAAACGAGTATAGTCAAGCAGTTTAAGCAGAATCGTGATTACACATTGGTCATATTTTATGAAACACCCCGTATAAATTTTTAAAGAAACTTAAAATATGTAAAACAACAAAATAAAATATACGTGTTTAAGAGTTTTTCCGAAAAACTCACCGGTTTTTAAATATTCTAATATTTGAGGGGTGGTTTCACCCCCTTAGAATTCGAGTTTCGAAAAATCCCTTCTTATCGAACCTCTACACCCTAAAATCAATCCGTTTTCCAAAAATCAGCTTTTTACGTCAAGCATTTTAAGCAGGATCGTGATTAATCAATGACCAGATTTTTCGAAACACCCTATATACATTTTTAAAAAATCTTAAAATATGTAAAA